GATTTTCCAGCAGGTGTCATTCGAAAAACAAACTTCCCATGGGCTCCAAGAAGTCAATCTCATGTTATTGTGTGAATTTTATGTTGCATCTGAGTTCACAATTACTTCTCCAAAAGTAAAATTTATGAATTTTTGGTTTGGGGATCTATGAATTCAAACGATATTCCAACCCAAATGCTAACAGCAATGCTAAGATAATTGTCTAGCAGTTCAGACTACACATTCAACGAGGAGTAAAAAAGGGGAAGACTGGTCCTTAAAACTCCTCTGCATCCTTTTCAGCCTCTGCATCCAAGAAGTATGGCCTACAAAATCCAGCAGAAATCTCCATTACAAGAAGGACTTTGTCTTCACAGATCCCCCATCATGGATGTGGGTGCAATTCTATTCCGCACTGGAGCAATGACTCTGGGGTTTGTGCTGGAGCTCACTGTCCTGCCTTCAGAGAACTTGTTATTTCAAAAGGAGTAAAATCCTGGGCAAAGGCAACGCTCACTGAACTGTCTCCTTATTTTCTGAATTTTCAACACTTCAGCTCAGTCAGACTTGCAAAACCATTTCCCGTGCTAAACTGCTGCTGTATGGAGCTTGTAGTCCCAGTGCATAGTGGTTCTGTTAAAGCATCTCTTTACTTCAAACACTGAATCTCATCAAGTCCCATGTCAATGTGCTTTGAGAACATCTTTCATTGGATTAGGGAAGGGCATTAGTCCACAAAATACAACCCCAAAATAGAAGCAGTTTATTACAATGATCAAATTCAAAATACGTAAATGGCACAAGAGATTTCAAAATAGAATGTTTGGACTTGGAGACATAAACAAACAGTTCAAACTTTAGGGAGGTTTCCAGACAGGAATCTAAGTCAGTGACCATTCAGTATGACCAGTCAGATCAAGTATGAATTATCTGGAAAACTCAAAATCCCTCAAATAAAAGAAATGCTGAAGAGTTTTGATTTTGTCTTATACTAAAGGCAGTAAGTGTCCTTTAATGAACATGCATGTAATGTAAAAAATGCTTATGGGATTTGAAAGACAAAAGTCTATGTTTAAGTAAGACCCCTGCACATAGCACTCTAAACTTCAATTTCATGTTGATTTTTGTGTGAACTGTCCCACATTTCCATTCTGGATTGCTTGTTCCTCCTCTGGTCTTTGCACTGAGGCCAGTGCTTGCCTTGGCACAGTCTGGGCACAAAAGCAGTAGTGCAAACATAACTGAGGAGACACAGAAGCCTGAGGCTGGAGTGGGGAGAAATCCCCCCGACTGTGAAACCACACCTTGAGCCATACAGGTCATTGGACCCTATGACTTCTCTATGGAAAAAAATCCAAGCCAAACCAAAACACCACATTCCTTAAGCAGTTTAGGTATTCATTAATTTTCCATCCCATATTTAAAATTTAAACAAAATTTACTCAAAAATATTAGCATACTATTCCTTTTGACAGGATTCCTTCAGAGTAACACAACAGAAAAATATATTCTTAATTGCCTTGGGACTTCATTGTAAACTCCATCTCCATAAGCGTGAATGCAGTGGTACATCACACCACACTCATCTAAAATGCTTCTTCAGTTTGACTTTTAAGAAACTGTTGCAGGAAGTTCATCTGTATTTGTGTTTTCAGTTCTGAAATTGCCACTTTATTGCAAAAAGATTTTTCTGAGTAAGTTCACTGTGAGCACATATTATAAAGTTGGTTGTTTGAAAGACATCCAGAAGACAAGGGGAATATATTTGCTTTACTGGGAAATAAATGTACCTAATAAAAAAGTTCCTGCCTTACCTTACTGATCTTGTAATGATAATTAGCAGAAAGCACGCAGAAGCATGTGCCAAACACCGATCATCACTGCACAAACCATTCCAGAGGGCTGGCTCTATCGGCAGGCTGCTGATGTGCACTGCTTTGCAGAATTAAAGACAAGCAATCAAATATCATGTTGCACAAATGTAATTGCTACTACAGCAGTACTGGGTGTTATGGGCAATGCCAATTCCTTGAGCTATGAGACCTCTTTGAACACATCCATTTTTTAAATATCTAGATGAAAGTGTTTTCAAAAGATTTGTTATCCTGGCCCAAGTGAGCAGATGCTGATGCAAAGGAGTGAAGAGACTTGTTAATGTCCATGGAAGAGACTGCTGCAACAAATGGATGTGGTTGTTCATATGGAAGAGGAGCAAAGGAGGGAGACAGGTCCATCCTTTGTTTGCAATTTCTTCTACTGTCTGGAAGGTTCCTGTAGAGCTACTAAGTTCCTGTAGGTATATTTACAATTTTATCTTTACTTCCTTGATGTTTGCAACTCTCATTCAGCCACAAAATTAAGAGAAGGATATATGTTAGCTAAAGACACGTTCCTCTCTCAGTTGTGTCATGCAAGTATAAATACATCATTATATTATTTCACACATCCAGCACAAGAAATGCAAGAATAAAGCCATAGCACTTAGTATTCAGTCGTAGTTCAAATACAACCACATATGAATAAAAGATACATTTTAAAGAGGAAAACATCTTCCATGAACAAGAAAAGTTGTTTCTGAAAAAATAACAAATGTATTAAAACCATTGAATTTTCTGCCCAAAGATGCCATTTTTCTGCATCACAAAGAAATAACATTAATTATCTTTATCTTCTCTGGATTGAAGCCAATTTGAATTATATATTCTTTAGTTAAATAAAAACTGGATACTTCTTCTCACAATGCCCTTTCACCACTCAGTGTGTCAGAATACCATACACTGCACTGAGGGACATGGATTTATGGGATATAAAAACCAGAAGGAAGAAACTTTCATGTCTGCTTCATTCAAACCATACTGTGGCAACAGAAACCAGATTTTATCACTCCTGCAGCCATGGCAATTCCCCACAAGGAAAAATAGATTAATTGCCCAAGAATCTTTCCACACTGAAGAAATCTCCACCCTCCAGGTTAAGGGATCTTATGGCTAACGTGACAATCAGAAGGGATAAATCAAGACCAGGATTTCCACCATGAGGCACAGATCCATAAGGCACATCCTCAAGACCCTTTGCCTGCAGCAGCACTCCAACTTTGGCAACAAAGAAAGTGAGCTTACTGCTCTGAGCAGCCATTATTTGTCAAACCAGCTTAAGTCCCACAGAGTATCAGGTGATCAATGGGTTCAATCAGCTGTATTTATTCTACAAATATAACAATGTATTTTTTTAGGGAAAAAAAGTAAAAAAGGTATAGCTCCATTTCCCAGTGAGCACAAATTGATATTCAATGAAGAATATAATTTCAGAAGAGGACTCTAATTGGCTTCTCCAGTTCCATACTGGTACTACATTTCTACAGATGATGTTAATGGCAGTATTTAGAAAAGGAAAATTTACATCCTAGACATGACCAGATTTGTTATCAATTTCCCATTCTCTCCAGTGCACAAAATACTCTGCTTTTAGTTATTTCTAAATATTCCATTTTTAATTCAAACTGGGAATTTCTCTTTTCAGTGAAAACAAATTTTCTAGTTATTTGAAATGCATTTGGTTTTGCTCAGTGTAAAAATGCTTTTGATAAGAAAAGTCATAAGGAAAAAGAGAAAAATTCAAATTTGATGTATACAAAATAATACTAAAATTTATAAAACTGTTTAATGGGCATCAAAGTTGTAGAGATCACTACATAAACAAGTGAATGATATCTAAAAATGAAGAGTTGATATTTTCTATATCAAAATGACTCAAATTTAGTTGAATATATGTAAATCTATCAGAGATGGAAGTGTGAATTGAAGCCAATAAATCAGCCAAAAGAAGCTGATCTTATGGAAGGTATTTCTTCTGAAAATGAATTGTTAAAGTTTCCATAATAAATACAAAAAGCCATTTAATGTCCACCACACCACATATATCCTATTTCTTGGCTGTTCTTCTACATCTTCCAATTCTTTTGTCTCAGTGGTTTTTTCCTAGCACACCTTACAGGAGCACACCTTAGATAGCCAGGGATGTTGCTTCATGTCATCTGGAAAAGAAAAGCATGACTTAATGATTTACAATTTGAGGCTTAATGATTTTACAATATGAGGTAACAGCTGAGACTTTGTTACTAAAATACATGTCATTTTACAGTCTTTTTATAGAGTAGCAAACTCTATAATTTTTGTAATGGAATAACAACTTTCAGCCCCCTCATATTAGCATTAAAAGGTGTAGAAATCTACCTCCAGAAGAGTGTTCACATTATATCTGATATACCACAGGAAGCAATATGGAACCTGAAACAGCTCAAGAGAATGTATGGCATTCCTCAAAAATTATTCTCCTGCATAGACAGCTTCTTCCTTTCTTTTGTTTTAAAGGAAAATGCTCCAGTGGGTCAGCAGAAAGATAAGTTCTATTTTAAATTAATAGGGCTTTATGTTTCCTCTGAAAAAATAATTGTAAAATTATATATTTTTTTCTCTTAGCAGAAATAATCCTACAATAGCTGTAAACAGAAGTAATGTTACATTATATTTTAATCCTGACAAGGTGTTTTTGAATTCCACAGAAAAGCTTTCAATCACCAATTTTTCCCTTCATAATTTCTCTTAATTTGCGGTATGATAATATTTGCAACCTAAATTTTAAATATTACTTGCATTAGAAATACTGCTCAAACAGTTACCACTGCATTTTTCATGACTATATGAACATTAAGAAAGCAGCACACATTATTTTATTCCCATCAAGCGAATATCTTGTAAATTTATCATATTATCGGTGACCGTTCTGTCTATCTGTATCATAAACACAGAGACATATGCATTTTCTTGATGACTATTATGCAGCCTTCTGAGTCTACAGTTTAATTTGCTATTAAAAAAACAAAACCAAAAGCAAACAAAAAAATCACGAATCAAACCAAAACATATGAGTCACGATTCTAGTAACCCAGAGCACTGATAGGATATGACACTACATCTACTGCAGTGAAATGATGATGAATTCACCAATGCCTACGCTGGAAATTCCAGAACTTCCTTGACTAATTCCTGGGCACTGACATTTTAGATACAGTCCCTGGGCCACCATCAGTGCCTGTGTCCAGTGGGCTGCCCCTACATTGCATCTTCCTCCTGCATCATGCATCCTCACCAGCAACAGCCTCCAGCACCCCATTCCCAGGTAAATCCTCATTTACTGCCTCCTGCTTTTCATGAGTATGCAAACAGAGAAAAGCATGACTTTCTAGGGTGCTTTGTAGCTGGAAATTCACTGAATATTTATCTTTACATTCTGCCTGTGTTTTGATCAACAGCCATAGAGGTGACACAATGTTGATTTTAAAAATACTCTTCAGTGGATGGAACTTGGAGCTGGTAAGTGAATGTTTGATGCAGTAATTATAAATTGCCTGATAACAAGATAGTCACACTTTAGTGCTGTATTTTTAAGCACAGTGGCTAATAAGAATCTGCTATTCTTCATGTATTTTTACTCCTATTTGCTGCAGTTCTTCCTTTCACACACTATTTCAGGGACACTCAGAAACCTTTCCCATTTTTGTGCCAAGGTCTCTAAATAGGACAAGTAATTAAGCAAGACTGTGAAAACTGCTTGGATTTTCCCTATTAGCTGTTATGCAGACAGAATTACATTCTGTCCTGGAAACTGAAAAATTGAAGAGAAAGAAAATTCAATATGTGCAATGGTTTTGGAATGAAGGGATGGGAGAGATCATGAGCTGCAGAAGGGACCAGCAGAGACTCAGGCAGAGACTGTCTCATACTAAAGGCCATAAGCATATATGGGTTTTACTATTTACGTGGTTTCTATCCAAAAGATGGAAAACTATACTTTCCATCTACAGCTTCCAGTTCAATCTTCCATTAGTGAGGCTCATTTTCCCTATATTACCAAGTGAAGTAATAGTCTATTTCCTATTCTACTGCAATGTGTCTTTTGGGGAAAATAAGAGGGAAGAGGCATCTGTGTCTACATGGTTTGTTGTGACTTCAGCTCAAATCTTTTCCTTTTTCCCATAGGACCTGCACTTGCAGAACTGTCCTTAGTGGGACTACCCCACATATGAAAGCTAAGACACCTCAAGCTGTGTTTAGTCCCACTACAATCCTCCTAGATTTTGACTAACAAAATTCAGAGCATTTTCAATCCCCTCAGGAACCATTTCAAGCAACTCCCTTTGGACAAGATGATCTGCATCTGGGGTGTAAATTTTCCACCCCTGTTTGTACAAGAAAATTCAGGTGAATAGCTCAGACCTAGAAGTCTAACTAGCACATCCATGGACACTCACTTTCAGCTTCTTTTTCAGTTTCCTAAAATATGGAAAATTTGTCTCGTAAAATGGAAAACTACTGGGAATATTTATTTAACAGAAGAAGCACTTTAAGTGATAGTGAATTCTTTAGGGGAGATTGATATGACTAAAAGCCAAGTTCTACAGAAAACTGTTGCAATTCTTACCTGATTATTACGTTCAAGGCCAGAGCAGAGACAAATTTGAAAAGCCAAGGCTTTGCATGTCAAACAGGAGTAGTCCTCAGCATGTGGGGGAAAATGGCAGTGATAAACCTACTATTAGGCATCTGGGAGAGAAGCCCAGCATCTCCTCTGTGTGGGGCCTAAAATAGAGAGGAGCCACTATCACAGATAATGGCAGCCTGTAGCCACATGAAGAGAGAAACTAAAATCTATTTCACTTAGACAAGAAACTGCAGTCTGATATTTACCTGTGTCCATCACTTGTGAAATGTGTTTACTGTGAATTATCCAAGAGAAAAGTGCAGGTTGAGGGGTTCCATTACCTATCTGAGAGTAGTTCAGATCACACATTAAACACAAAAAATCACAGGTAAATCTTGGATTGGTGTCTTGGGTAGTCAAATGGATTCCTGCTATTCATTTAAGTATCTGCCTCCTACAATTGCTGGAGGCCAACACGGAGAGCAGTGAGAACATGTGCAGACAAAATGTGAAAGTAAAACAAACAGAGTAAGCTTCATCTTCATGTGAATTTTGAAAACAAAGATCACTTTGGAAATAAAGCTCATTCTAATGTCAAGGAAAGATACTGCACCTTTTATCACCGAAGAACACAATGTATAGACAGATGTGTTAATGGCTGCTCTACAGCCTTCCTGAATCTGGCAGAAGTAGTAATAAAGAACCCCCTCTAGAAATAATTGGAATTCCTTCCAGGTATATTGTCATAGTTTCATCTTTTCCTCATCATAGGAGATAATAAAATAAATATATTTCTTAACATCACTTTTGCACCTATGGCATCATCTTGTAAGTGAAGCACAAGAGTCTCTTTTTAGATTTATTAATAAAAACTTAAAAGTTTGTAAGTTTGTCCAGACTTTGGATATGTGTGAGAGACATTCTTAAGTCACAGGTTTCACCAAATGAAATGCTGACCTCCTAAGCATTCTCAGGTTCCATGATTCAAAGTTAAAGCACCTGAGAAAATCATAGCCAACTGAATGTCATATAATTGTTTCAATGTTTGCTTCTAAAAGTAAATGCTAAGCTTAAAGTAAATGTATTGTGTTACCAAATCTTTCCTTTCAAACAAGCACTTCTGTCAGAAGTGTCTTAATTTCTTATCACAGAATTTCATCCGCACAAGGAGCAATAAATAATTCATGTTCCTAGCTCTTTGTTGTGTGTCCCTGAACTGCACAGAGCTGGAAGGCTGACAGCTGTGTCAGGACAAGCACCAAAGATCTGACATGACAAGTGACTAACAAGTTTCTTTCAGTCTATAGTGAAAGAAGACAATGGCATAAAGTGCAAAAACGAAATCCTGAAACAAAATGAAACTGTTTCTTTCTCTTTACCTAAGTGTTTGCTATGAGCTTATTTCCGACCCATAACCTCTGGTCATTTTATAGTACTGCCCAACCCCCTTTACTCCTCACATTCGCCTGGCCATTTACGCCTGTCCACGGATCAATATGAGCAATTCTTGGAGAAATACGATGTCTCCATGACAACCAAGCCACAAATTCTCAGTGGAAAGCAGTGAGACCAGTAGTGAAATCTCCTGAGGTTTTCAGACCTATAAGACAAGATGTCTTAAAATGCAGGAATGGACAGAAACAAAAGCCAGAGTAATTCATTGTTTATTACTAGTTTAATGATGTCAGATGGACCGATTGGAACTCAGTTTTTAAGTTTGGATGCTTTATCAACATGTATTTTTGCCAGTCAATATTCACCTCCTGAAAGGCTTTTATTCTTTCCATTACTTCATAGAGATATGCAGAGTGAGGAATTGGATATGTAAGTGCCCATCCAAACAGGCACACTTTGCCAGAGAGAATTAAGGTTAAAATTAGTGTTATCTTTAAGGTACATTCATTCTCCCCTGAACACTGTAGTGCCACCCTGCTTTAATCCTTCTGCACTTCAAAACTGATCAAATCTTGGACAATCCATATTTCGGCCCGTAATTGTTGCTGAAGTGACTACAGATGGTTTCTTAAGGAGATACTAAACATCACAGATTATCAAACCTGGCTCCTTTCTGAGTAGATTACCTATTTCTTTCTAAATCTTATGCTGGTTTCTGCTGGACAACATTGAGTCCACGTCTATGTGGCTTTAAAATGAATAGAGATTTACAATTCATTGGTTTCAATTATTGTAACATATACTGCTGTTCATTTCTCTGGAAAAGATGAAAAGGGAATGTAGTTCAAATCAGGTATATGACAGTAGTTGAACTCCCAAGGAATCTTGGAAGAGTGGAGTGTGCTGAAATATAATCCCCCAGACATGGGTCCTATCTGGGTTCTGAGATGACTTAGGGGACCTGACATGGATTTCAGACTGCACCCTTTGACTGAAAATTAAATCTCAGCAGTGTTCCTTGGGGAAGGATCAGGGGACTGTTGGCAGCTGCCCCCTGTCAGCACAGGCTGCAAGATTTGGAAATCTCTTAACTAAGCTGACAGGCCGCAGAGACGATGAATCAAAAATATGATACACGGATCAGCACACAAAGATGCAGGAGGGTACAGAGAAACCAGATAAAACAGGAAGGAAAATACCAAGTGAAGAAAGATGTTTAACTCTTTCACTAATGAGGACTGTGTGCAGGTTATGTGTGTGGTGTATATGGGTCAAGCTCACAGTTTGCTTAAAAGATCTTGGTATTTAGTCACACAGAATGTTTTTAATCAGCTGTGACTCGGTACAATTTATATTTAATTGTTTCCTTTTGGGATTCATTTAATAAATTTTGTAGATGTTCCATAACGAGAAAGATAATGAAACTACATGAAGATAAATCTTTCGGTTACCAAAAAGGATGCACTTTATGGATGTTCCTGTATTTAGGTGAATCAATGTTAAGAGTCATTAAAATGAAATAATGATTGTGAGCTGATTTAAAGGAAAGAATCAAGCTATTTAATGCCACCAATTTGCTTTCCTCCAGAGATACAGTGTTTGCATTCAGCTGCAGTATATACAGTACTTCTAATTTTTCATAATCTCATGCTACCTTCAAAGGGTCAGACATTGTACATATATTAAGTAAGCAGTGTAGTCCAAAAGTAATTATAATGAACTAGTAGTGTCAGCTTTCTTTTTGGTCATAAAGCCTTTATCCTTTCTCAGACCTGAACTCCTGATGAAAGAGGAAAGGATAACAGCTCCACACTGTGACCCCTGGAGGTGACCATTAATTTGACATTGCAGCTGCTAAAAAGGAAACAGCATTAGAATCTGCTTTTTTTACAGACCCAAAAGCTGTGTCAGATTTATCACTTGATACTTGTGATTGTCTTTAAATGCCTCTCACCTGGACTCTCAGACTCTTCCAAGACACATCTGTCAGATGTATCCTCCACATCCTGGAAGTTTTCCGAGTTGGAGCTCTTGTCAAGCTTCAGCACACTGACTGGAGCAATAAGAATAAAATACAGAGAGAGAGAAATGCAATGTATGCAGAAATCAACACTTCCTGGTTTTCTGCAGAGCCTTAAATGCTGAAGACATAATTTGTAAACATAAATAAAAGATTGAAAAAAACCCAAGAAACACAGACTACTTATAAGCAACCACAGGACAGTTGAAAAATCTATAGACAAGAATGTATACAGGGTGAAGTTTAAGGTGTCATCTTAAATGAGGCCCCTTTGAAGCAGAAAACCAGTTTATCTTACAGAATCCTTAAAATAATAAATTAATTAAGAAGTCATAAAAAAATGCTTGTCTGTTTCACCAAAGAAGCCAGTAAACAACATAAAAGATCAATTAGATGGTTTTGTAATTACTGGAGTCTTTCAGCAGGGAGAGAAATAGTGTAAGTTTTAAGATGAAAATATGCTGCATACAACAATCTGGAATTTGTAAGAAAATTACTGATAATTCCAAATGGCAGTGAAACCCAGACTGAGTTGCAGTTTAAAGATTACCAAATTTGGTTACATGTTTTACTTTACTGCTAAAAACATTTCCATTTCAGAGCATACAAGTATTTCCAGGGAAACAATTACCTGTCTATATATGACTTATTAATTCATTTGGCTTTTGAACAAATCCCACGTAACTTTTCCTGAGAAGAGAGGTGTTTCCCTTGTCAAAGTAAATTTCCCTCTTTTCTACTTCATATCTCTACATAGAGCCACAAATACAGTTTGAA